AAGATTCCAGGCTCAGGACAGGCGAAGGCAAGCTGAGCGGTTGGCATTCCTTTACCTTCATACAAGTCAGAACAGATAGGTTTAGGCCCAAGATCAATGCCCGGGGAATTAAGGCTCAAGATTCATGGACAAATAAAAACCAAGACTATTGAAGCTATCATTGCCATTAGACACCAGTAAGCCGGAGGGACTGTGAGAAGGGCCGCAGGGTGACCCTCCATGCTGCTGGGGCTGGCAGGACTGCTCTTGAAGACAATTGGGGCTGAGTAACCAGAGGGAGGGTTTCAATTACACGAACATTTCTTAAGCCTGTTTAGTCTGTAACCCACCTGTGCCCTTGTAGTACAAACAGCCCTTTCAGCCGTGAGAGCCACCTGCTAGAAGGGGCCCCGCCTTGAACTGTGCATGCTCTAGCATTCACCTCCTATTCCTGTAAAACTGTCTGTCCCTGTCTCTTTCCCTCTGACTTCTCTTACACACACACACACACACACACACACAAAACACAACACACACGCACACACACACACCCCTTGCGTCTTTCCCTTCCCACAGAGTTCCCATCCTCCTATTCCTACAACCATGGGGAGAATTGGCAAAAGTGACAGCTGTCTTGTGACCTGAAGAAGCCCTCATCCTGGTGCTCTGTGCCCTGGTTTTCCTGGCAGGCATGTTCCCTGGGCTCTGTGGCACCCAGCACAGGGTCTCGCTCAGGATATGGGCCTACTAAACGTGCTGATGCTGGTATGGACGGCAACCCACTCCTCCACACCGAGAGCCAGGGCAGAGGTGGTCTCACCTAGCCCCCTGGTACAGAGGGGTCAGGGAAGTGTGAGAGACCTGGGGACAGGTCTGTGGTATGGTCACAGCACTCTCATGATGAGAAAACTCCTGCACTTTTCACCATGCTCCCTTCTTAGCAAAGTGAGGTGCCCAGAGTAAGTGTCTGCAGGCTCTCTGATCCTCCCGACCTCCTGCACTGCTCTGCTGGCTGCAGCCTCTCCCCCTTCCTGCTCAGCCCATGTCCTCATGCACCTCTGCCACCCAGGACTGTCCAACTGGCATCCATTTAAAATAAAAGAGCATATATCGGGAGAGGCAATGGCTTTGACCTGAACTTAAGAAGTAGGGAAGCAAGGCCCATGGGAAGAAAGAGAAGGAGCAGGAGAGGACATTCTGGAGGAAGAAATGTATATCTCTATGGGTATGGATTACCTGAGTGTTTGCATCTGTCAAAACTTTTTACATTGTACACTTAAGACCTGTGAGTCACACTCTATAAATTTGAGCATTACATCCTAATTGCAAACATCTTAGAAGACCCAGGGACCTACTCCTCCCCAGCCCTGAAGCCAGGGCTTCTCCTTGGTCATTCACTCGAGTAGGGAGGCCAGATAGATGTGCTGAGAGTTATGGTGGGCAGGTAGCCTTGGCCTAGAGGTACCCGTGACTGCATCCTCTCAGGGGAGTTGAACTGTACCAGATATGTCAGCTCAGCCACCACAGTTCAGTCTCTTCATGCAACCCGGAGGCCCGAGGTCACAGAGAGCACTGTGGCTGACAGGAGCTTTCACAACATCCTTTATGACCTCGGTTTAACCTCACACCACCGTCCCTGTGAGACATATGGTGCTTCCTCTTTAGAAACTGTGTCTGACACACAGTTTCAGTCGGTCCTCGTCATCTGTGGATTCCGTGCTTGTGAACTTGCCTACTTGCTAACATTTGTTATAATCCTCATTTTGATACTGCAGCCTTTTCAAGCTCACTCCCAAACATGAGCAGAGCAGAGAAAAATCTGAGTGGCCACAAGCGGATGCCCCCAGCTGAGGTCCAACAAGGCCACACTGCAGCCCTCTTGTTTCAGCTCTCAGTATAAAATTTTTTTTTGCAGCCTATTTAGTGTCATGTTTTTCACATTTTTGTGCCTTTTCTTGGTGATTCGGCTGTTTAAAATGGCTCCCAAGTATCATGATGAAGTGGTCCTAAGTGGGAGAAGGCTGGGGTGTTTCTTATGGAGAAAACAAATGCTTCTATCAGCCCCAGATTATAGTGCTGTTGGCTGTGAGTTCAAGGTTAATGAAATAATGTATATTAAATAAGGTGTCTTTAAACAGTAATACACATAAAACATGGTTAGGTACTGATGGGCTGACAAAAATGCTGGCATGAGGCTCATAGGAACCTAGTTCTGTACTTCTCCTAGGAGCAATGATGGTTCAATATTCAGATGCTCAAGTTGACTGTATAGAATACCAGGAGTCATGAGAATAAGCTATTCTCAGCCAAAGCCACATAGCATGTCTGCAAAAAGTGAGGATACAATGCACTGATTTCTATGACAGTCCTCCCTTCAGAGTCCAGTGCGCCTTTCGAAAAGCTGCTCCCACAGGGGGTGGGGAGGGGCACTCCCCCAGCAGTGCTGAGTAACAGGCATGGAAGAAGCACTGCCCAGCCTCTGTCTCCTGGGCGCCTGTGGTCCACAAGGCTGTGCTGACGTACATGCCAGATTAACAGAGGCGAGAGGAAGGCAGCAGGAGCATCTACCACCAGAGGAAGGCAGTCGGAGGCTGGGATACCGCTGGGGAGGAAAGGATGCAATTAAAGGAGAGCCATCTGGACAAACAATGGGGATCAACCAAGGTCACAAGAGGCAAGGCCCCCAGGAGCTCTCAGTTCTTCCCAACTGTGTCAAGATTCCTGTCCCACCCTCACCTTGCATGTCACACTCTCCACAGTTTCCAGTGCCCTTCCACCCACATGATCTCATCAGATTCTCCTAAGACTCAGGGTCAGGAGTTATTACCTCCAATCCACAGAAAAGGAGCTGGGATGCTGCCCCAGGTGCTGCACAGCTGGGGTGGGGGTGGGGATAGGGGAGTGGACTTCGGACTTGGTGGAAGATGTCCAAAGTTCCTGCCCATGGCTGTTTTGTTGAAGCCTCGGTGACAGCAGTCATGCTTGCTTCCCAGCGCAGGCTGGTGGCCTCGTTTATGAACTGTCTGGACTTCACCTTGTCCCTAGTCCACCTGTTTCCTATCTTGACAGGAGGCAAGTATTATGTTACTAAAGGGGAAACTGAGGCCATGCAGGAAGTAGTTTCTGATGTTTCCTCCCCTCATTCCTGTTTCAACTCAGGTGAGGGGATGGGAGGATGGGTGATGAGCAGCTCAGTGCCGTGTGGGGCTTGGCCACATCAACGGGCAGGATCAAAGCTGACACAGAGACCTGCTTTTGGGTCCCACAGGCATAGGGCGTCAGAGAGAGGCCAGCTCTTCTGATTGCCCTTGAACAGTGCCAGATGTGAGTGCCCATGCCAGCAGCAGCTGAGCCAACCTCGGCCAAGCAGAAGGCCAGCTGGGCTATGGTCCCGAGGAAGCAATGGGTCTGGAGCCCAGTCCCTTTCTGAGAGGCCTCACTGTGTGGGACAAAGAAGTGACCTCCATTCTGCCTTCTGAAGTATCATTAGGCCAGCAGTCAACTATTGTACCTTTCAGACCTCACGGCCCACAAGTGGCCCAAGTACCACCGGTTGGCAACTGCTGATCTAGGCAGTCTCTTAGGTTGATCAGAGCTGATCTGAATTCTCAGTGCAATCTCTTCCATCCTCTGTCATGAGCCACTCTGGGCTCCACTGCTCCCGGTTACTGTGAACTCTGTATATACTTTGGCACTAGGTCCTGATTGGCTCTGAGTTATGTACATTCCAGTGCATGTCAGTTGTCTCCATTTTCCGCACCACACCACACCTGAGGGATTTCAGAGCTTCCCTTTAAAATAGGGGTGTCGAACTCAATCAGAGAAGGGGCCAAAATCTAAAATCCAGCCTAAATCGCGGGCCGAATGGTTTACTGAACAGTCATAAACTGTCATTGTGATGGAAACGCAGCGGAGTGCAGTGATGACAGCGCGGTGCGGGCCACATTGCAAGGCCTGGCAGGACGGATTTGGCCTGCGGGCCTTGTGTTTGACACATGTGCTTTAAAAGCTCAAGGACTCATTATGCCCAAGACTGTCGCAGAGGTGAATATGCCTGTGTCCTTGGAGAGGATGTGTTAGAATTTAGGGGGGTGTTTCCAACTTTGGAGGTACTCCTGGGTGGGGGCAGGGCAAGATCCTGTCCCAATAGTCATAAAGTTGAGAATGACTGAGTGCGACTAATGAAGCAGGAAGACTAATGTCCTTTCCCTTAGTTTATGGCACTTTGGTCCAACTCATAGAGCATCAGGTTTCAAGAGCCTGGGGTTCTAGCAGCAACAGTTGCCTGGGACCCTACTCCATCAGAGTGGGATCCACCTGCTGTTGGTTTCTCCAGTCAGCGATGCCAAGGGTCTTTGGATCCCGTAAGACAGGCCTTCAATCTCCCCACATGTCTAGGTTGGTTGTCTGTACCCTGCATGCCATACTCATTTCATGTACCAGGTTACCCTTTGCCTCCACTGCATACCTTTGCCCTCTTCTCACTTTTATAGAATAAAACAGAATCAGCAAAAACAGTGTACATGGGCAGAGTGCTCAGCCTTGGGACGGGCTTCACAGGTGACCCCAGGCCATGTGCTCTGGGGCCAGGTGAGTGCTATGGCAACAGAGGGAACCACACACTGGAGCTGAACCACAAGAGTCTCAAGCACCAGAAGATTCAGGGGGTGGGTATCAAAGAACCTGCAAGGTGTCTAGATTAAATAGACAGTATGGATCCAGCCCAATGCCTTTTCCCTGCTGTTTAGTCCTGGAATGTCAACCTGGAGACAAGTCACTGTCAGAAATATCCGAACCTCTCCCCAGCCCTCCACTTGATTCCATACCCTGACCCATCATCATTCCCACACTGCCATTTCTATAGATCTTAGGGGAATTTGGCAATTTAAAGTGAAATCAGAACAAATGAAGAAAGATAATATTCTCAAATGATACAAGGAACAAAGGATCAGCAAAGACAGGGAGAGAAGAGACGTGCTGGGGGAAGTGGGAGGCAGGAGGAAGCTGCGGGCTGTACTCACGTGTTGTGGAGCACACACCAGCCGCAGTGGGGGTCACCCGAGCCAAGGCACTCACTGCAGCTTCGGTACTGACCACAGGACTCCACAGGCACTCTGGTGAGCTGGGACAGGACAACAAGCGAGAGAGTGGTCAAGGTTTCGCGGACACTCAGGAGTTCCCCAGAAAGAGGCTGCATTCTATCAGGTGTACCACCCAAAACAGGGCAGGAGCATGAAGGGTCCAGAACCCCAGAATCGAAAGGGACCTTGCAGTTCATATTTGAGCAGGTGGCCTTATAAGCACCCAAGGGAGATGGCCACCTGTTATTTTCTCAGAAATCTCTGGGAATCAACTGCATACAGGTTAGATTAAATTGTTGTAAATATACTTACATAATCTACATTTACATTTCCTCACCACCAAAACCCCAAAATATTTCAACAAACATCCAGTTCATCATATGCTTGTTTCTTATCAATGTCATGAACTCAACTGTTCATTCTTTCTCCAGTCTTGTTTTTATTTTCCCACAAAGTATTTTGCCTTCTTCTCATTCTCCTCCTTCATAATATTTGTGGTTCCAGGATACCTTGAACCCAACACCAAGACATTCACTTTCTCTTTCTCCATGCCCCCCCCCCCCACTTTTTTTTTTTTTTTAAAGATTTTTACTGATTTCAGAGAGGAAGGGAAAGGGAGAGAGAGAGAAACATCTATGATGAGAGAAAATCATTGACCGACTGCCTCTTCCATACCCCACACTGGGGGACAGAGCCCTCAACCCGGGCATGTGCCCTGATCGGGAATCAACCCATGACCTCCTGGTTCATAGGTCTACGCTCAACCACTGAGCCACACCAGCCGAGCTCTCCATGCCTTTTAACAAGGTGCAATAAACATGCTCCGTAGCTATTACCTGCCTACTCTCTTTTTCTCATAATGTTGGCCAACTGGCTCTGAGAGTTTTTTCAGTTTTCACTCTGGTACTTTTAAAGAGCAGCTGCTGCTCTTTCTCCTCTTACCCACACCTTTTCTCGATTAGAGGCTTCCCCCCCAACTCCAAAACTTTACATTTGCTTTCACCAGCCGCTCGTTAATGTAAATTTTCCCGGTAATACGACTGCTGAGCCCAAATGCCTCCATTGCCAGCGAGCTCCCAAGGATCTGGTTCCTTTCTCTGTTCTCTGATGTAGCTTTGCCAGGATCCCTTTGACAGGACTTCTCAGAGTCCGATACATAGAAGGCACTTAATACCCATCCACAGGAGTAAATGAAATTTTAATTTTTTTTTCTCTATAGCTCTGGCCTTTATTCTCCATTTTGTCAGTTTCTTCTTTACAAAACTTATTTTTTTTTAAATTATCCTTTTCCATTTGGGATACATTTTTATCTCAATGATTTCTTGAGCTAAGAGAATGTGATGTGGTCATCTTTTAAAATTTCTCCCATCAGACAACAGGCCCTTAGCAGTAAACCCCGCTGACCTGACTGCACCTCCATACATGCCAAACAAATGCGGAGGCTGTGTTCTGCTGTTGCCTTGCAGGGCATCTGCCTCCGCACAATTATGCACTGCTTGGCAGGGACGACTTGTAACTCATGCACAGCGAACTGGCACCAGAGCCTGCCCAGGCTCCAAACTCCCTTTGGGATTTAATTAATAATGAATTCTAAATCCCACATGATCTTGTTTTCCTCCCCCTTGCCCCCAATTTTCCTTTTCCCTTTATATACCTTCTGTTTTGTTTTATTTTCTCAAGTACACACTGAGCATTCTTAATGACCACACTGCATTTTCACTTCTTCCGAGTTACATTTTAGTTTCCTGTTTCCATTCTTATTGCTTTGCCCTTGGCCTTGGGGGCCCTCTCTCCACATTCTCAGATGTCTTTTTGGCACATTGGGGATTTTATCTTTCCTTTTATTACCACTTATGTGATCAGCATGAGCCATGCCTTGGCTCTACCTACAGACACCCTTGCCATTTGTGTAATTAATCCTGACAATCAGTTTCTTACAAATAATCCCACTGACTCTACCCTCAGCCAGGAACTCACCCTCTTCCTGTTGCCCCCTTACTTTCTTCCTATACCACTTAGGAGGGCATCTACGTGCTGGTCATAGAAGCATATAAATAATGGTTCCCAGCCCAAAGCACCTGGGCTCATAGGAATTTGTGAATGGTAATGAGGTCCACAAGCTATTTGCAATATTTCCAAAAGCCTAATGGAAATTGAATTGTTGCTGTTTTCTGTTTGTACGCGAACCCAGTGATGTATGTGCCATATTAAGAATAGGAAATATATTATTACTTAATAAATTCACTTTGTTTAGTAGGCAAAAATCTTTCAAAACATGATGCCTGGAGGGGGAAAAGGTAATATAGGGACCATGGATGGTGAAAGTTGGTAACATAAGTACATAATAATGTTTTTATCTGTTCCAGCTGCTTGTGTAACACTTCATTTCTTTTGCATGGCCTTAAAGAGAAAATCATGACTTTTTCAATCAATCGAAAGCATTTTCTTGGTCCAAATGTAATTAATATCCTCCCCAGTTTCTCCCACGGACTTGCTCTATAATTTGTCTTGGGTGGCTGTGCCATGGGGTTCTGGGGTGTGAGACACAAAGAGCCAGCTGCTTGGCCAACTTGACATTCTCAAAGCCTTTGCATTCAGATTTCTAAAAATATCTTGCAACTGGTGTTTAATACTGTCAATATCTGAAATTGTAAAGTCCTTTCTCTCTTGATTTTGAGCAAGAGTCATTTCCGCTTGGTTGGAAAAAGTGTGAAAGCCTGCAGAGCGAGGTTCAAATTCTGGCTTCACCCTAGTCTAGCAATGAGATCCTGTTGTCTCTGAATCTCAATGTTTCTCATCTTTAAACATGGCGATAAAAATCCCCCTTAATTCATAGAGTTTTTCAAAGCACAGATGACCCAGCAGATATGAAGTTTTGTACCGGATCAAGCATGTTGCAAGTGATTATTGCTGTTATCTGTGTCATGAATACCCTTTCTGCATTACACTGCCACTTTTCCTCTCTCCCACATCACAGAAGGCTGCTCTGACAGTCTTCCTCGGCCCATGAATTCAGTCAGAAGTTGAGTAGGTATAGGAAAAGTTTTCTTCTTTTATATCTTGAACACATCATTTCCTCCTTGAACTGTGGTGTCTGCCCCTAAGTTGTCCATTGCTTCATCTTTGGGATGAAACTCTGGGGTTATCCCTGCTTCATGGATTTACTTAAGTGCTTTTATCAACTACTGTAACAGTTAAGCATAATTCTTTGCTTTCCATCTAGGTGGATCCCTGTGGGACAGGGACATAAGTCCTGGTCAATTTTATTTTTATTTATTTATTTTTTAAAAATATATTTTATTGATTTTTCACAGAGAGGAAGAGAGAGAGATAGAGAGTTAGAAACATTGATGAGAGAGAATCATCGATCAGCTGCCTCTTGCACGCCTTCTACTGGGGATGTGCCCACAACCAAGGTACATGCCCCTGCCCGGAATCGAACCCGGGACCCTTCAGTCCGCTGGCCAAGGCTCTATCCACTGAGCCAAACCAGTCCCGGCAGTCCTGGTCAGTTTTAATGAGACTTAACTTTCTTTAACCTTTACTTTTAGGATCTTTCTGTTTATGTTTTCTGAGATTGTTTTATTACTTTTCTAAACTCTAGTGAGGTTTTCTTCATTTTTTTTTAAAAGCATGAATGCTAAAACTGGGGGAGCCAACAGGATTCTGAAAGACCAAGTAGGAAGGCCACTACTATTTGAGAACTAATGCCAGCCCCCTCACCTTTTCTGGACTTTCCTGAAGAAGACTAGGCCCAGGGAAATCTCCAAAGTCACATTTTCATTGTTGCATTGTCTCACTCCACACTTCACAGGTAATTCTGAAAACCATCAGAAAATGTCCTGACACCTTCGAAAACTGGATTTTGTCCACCATCTATCTCAGTGCAGTTCTGTACCCCAATAGCTCTGGTTACAGGCTGCACATTGCTCCAAAGCTTTGCAGGTATCCAGGTGGCTCCTGAGCCATATCGCTACTAAGTTTCTCTCTCCCCAGATACCTAGATTCCCTGCCCACACCAAACACTAAACAAAGCCTCTTCCTCTATCCCCCATCTCTGGCTCCTCTCCTGACCCTGGAACACAAACCACTCCAGATGCAGACACACATGATTAATTAAAACCACCCCATGCTGATTAAAGTCTTAAGCTACAATGCCAGGCATGCTAATTAACTGAGTGAGGGAATTCAAACAACAGGAAGAGGTGAGAAAAGAAAGTCATGGAGGGGGGCTTCTGCCTGGAGAACAAAATCAGATGGCCATGCGACTGAGCTATCCAAGTGATGGATGGTCTCAGAGACCACAATAGACTGAGGTCTGTCCCCTGGTCATGGACTCCAGGAGAAGAATTGACTAATGTGGCTGCGATAGCTCCTTTGCTGCTTCTAGGACAGGAGTCTCACCACCTCTCAGAACTCCCCTGTGACCTACACTGAGCTGGGGGAGAAGGGGTTAAGGGTCTACACGTAGTCACCTTGACACTTTCTACCAGCTTTGTGCAAAAATGTATTAGATAGTATGGCACATCCTCAAAAAATTAAACATAGAATCACCATAGCATCTATTAATTCCACCTCTCAGTACACACCCAAAAGAATTGGAAATAGGGACTTGAATAGATACTTGCACACCAGTGCTCACGGCAGCACTATTCACAACAGTCAAAAGAGAAGCAACCCAAATGTCCATTGATAGGTGAATGGATAAGCACAATGTGGTCTATACATACAATGAAATATCATTCAGCCTTAAAAAGGAAGGAAATTCTAACACATGCTCCGACATGGATAGACCTTGAGGACAGTAAGCTAAGTGAAATAAGGCAGTAACAAAAATAGAAATACTATTCTACTTATATGAGTATCTAGAGTAGTCCAATTAGTGAAGACATGAAGAATGGTTGTCAGGGGCTGGGAAAGGAAAAGGGGTTAAGTCTTTAATAGGCAGGGGGTTTCAGTTAGGGAAGATGAAGAGTCCTGAAGACGATGGTGGAGATGGCTGCAGCACAGTGCGAATGCCACCAAACGCTGAACCATGGAT